CTGGATCCAACTTCCCATGGACACAGAGGGAGGACTGTACCCACTCCGTTCTAGTCAATATTATGTTCTTAGAGAAAGACAGATGAAAGGAAACACAAGGCTAACTTGTGCTGAGAGAAGATAGCAGAAAAGGAAAAATTATATACTTTTCACTTGAACGTCCTTTCTCACCTGCCTAAGCACCGATGTCCATCACATATTTGCGGAATTGAATGAAAAGGAAATACTGACACTACTAATCAATTCAGAAGAAGTGCTGCCAAAATAAGAGTTGAAGAGTTATGACCAGAGAAGAATTCCTGTATTTTTGAGGCAGAACAGTGAGAACCAAGGCATGAATTAGATTGGTTCTTGAATTTTAAGTTCACTTTCCAGAGAAGGAAAGCGAAAATAAACTCTGCAGAATTATGGGAAACACAGAAGGGTCTTATGTCCTAGACTTATTTTTTCTTTCTGAGAAGAAAGGCAGAAAGATGAGGTAGAAATTCTCACTTCATAGAGCTGATGATTAATTCCTCACAGTATTGAAGAATTTATGTATTTTTCTGTAATGTATTATAATTAAAGTAAATGAAAACATGATTCCAAAAAATCATGCCAACTAGTTTGAACTGTGTGGCAGGGACTGTCAAGCATCCTTTAATGTACATTTCCTTTTCTTACTATGACATGACACCCTTAAACTCTAGATGGGCACGAGCCCCCAAGAACAAAGGCTACAATTGCCAGCTCTCCTTGCAGCTGGATTTGATGTGCAACTTGTGAGACACACCTTGAAATGAAAGAAGCATCTTTCTCCCATTTTCCTCCTTTTTGGCTGGAATACAAACGCAATGGCTGGAACTTTGGCAGCCATTCTGAGTCTCCTTGTGACCTTGAGAATGGCAAGACACAAAATGAAGCAGCAAGAGAGAAGGAGCCTGGGTCCCTGTCCCTAGGAAACCTACATCCAACTCTTTGCTATCTCCAGAATTTTGAAATATGAAGAGACATAGACCTGTATATTGTTTAAGCCATGTTCATTTTTCTTTTTCTGTCAAGTGTAGATAACTCTAGTCCTAACTAATATAGATTGACAAGGTTGTCTGCCAAAGCAATTCCATGAGAATAACTAGAGAGATTATCGGTTTCTTCAATTGTTTTCAAAAGCTTAACTCTGGAGAGCAAAGAAAAACATGCCGTGGATGGAAAATGGTCCATGTTTGTCTTGTCAAAGAAACTAGAACAGCAACCCTGAGTTAAGGATTGATGTGTCCAAATCCAAAGTAGGTAGACTTTCAAATTTGAATTTTTCCTTCCTTCCTGCCGCTCTCCTCCCTTCCTCTTTCTTTTCTCCTTTCTTTCTTTCCTATCTTATTTCTTCTTCTTCTTTTTACATAATTTAGTTCTCAAGTTCAAGTGAGAGCATATTTTGGATTCTTTGAATATTTTATTTTAAAAAGTTTTGTCTTTAACCCAATTCTTGCCCTTTATATGCTAGCAAGTCTAAGGAAGATGGTTCATTTTTAACCTGACACCAAATTTTTCTACAAATATCAATATTTAGGAAGTTTACTGACCTTCTAGAAACAGCATTTTTTTCATAGCCCTCAATAAAGAAATTAAGCTTTTTCAGGATGAAAAGAGAGATGCTGCCTACAGATTGTGAATTTTTTGAGAATTTTGTTTTTTTGAAGAATTCTTTATTAATTCATTCTTATATAAAATACATTGGCTTCCTTTCTGCCTTACACACTCTGTGGTTACGTGAGAAGTAATTCCCTCTATGAGTTCTACTTTTGGGCATAACATCCTTGAACGGGGGGCCTATTTGAACAGGGTTCATAAACCTTATCCAGCAAAGGTTACAGATGACTCTTATACGGGAAGAAAACGAAAACAGACATTCAAGATTTCTAAGTTTAAAAAGATCAGTTATTGCTATTGTTTCCTACTTAACTGAGTTATCCACTGGAAACAGCCACCACCTTGGGCTGCAAGGTCAAGTTAGAACATCTGCGTTCTAGTTCACTGTCAAAGTTCTCCTGGTTACATACTAAAGCAAATCAGAAGTGACAAGCGAGTGTTTCCTTTGAGAAATAATTAGCCAGAATGTTTACTTCAGAGTGAGTCCACATTTTGGGATACTATACATTTTTAAATTAGGTATAAAATGAAGATCTGTTTATTCTTGGCAAGATTCCTTTCTAATTAGCAAAGATTGAAAAGAGCAATTTTGGTTTTTACTTGCTTCTCAATTAGCAGAGTCATGATGGTTCTCCCCGGATTGGCAATGTATATTTTAGCTGATGGTGATGAAGACAGATTCCTCTCCATCACAAGTGTCCCATTCATTAAGTGAGACAGATGGCAGCCTTGCTTTGTTTTGTTAGATGCAGCCTCCTGAAGCTGGCTTGTCCCTTTTTTTAGGTCTAGAGGAAACAGCAGGGCTTATTTTTCTGAAGGAAAAAAGAAAGAAGTCAATATTTTGCTAGGCAAGATGTCAAGTTATCCTCAAAACAAGGATGCCAACAGCCTCTCAGAGGGGAGTGATGTGGACATAAGTTTTTGTTTCAGGGACACGTACCCTCACGTTGTATGGCAGACGGAAGGCTAAGATACTTGTGGATCTGCTAGCTGGGAGCTTCTCCTACGAGGTGTTTGAGATTTCTCTGACGTAGGCTGTTGCACACCCCAAAAATGTATTCTGTCCCTTGGGACTTCTCTAAGTAACCCCCTCCGCCCCCGCCACTCCCCTGCTTAATTTTTGCTGCTTTGAAACGTGGCTGGAAGCTGAAATAAAAGGTAAATGGAAAGCATCCCAGTGGCCTATGACTCCACACATATAAGGATAAGTCACTGACAGAAGATAGAAGGCACTGCCGGGGCAGGTTTGACCAAGGTTCCCAAGACACCATCCCAGGTTTGTTCAAAGAGGAAAATAAACTTTGATTTTAACTTTCCCCTTCTCCATTCCCATCAGCACTGGGGATGATGGGTAATGGGTGTCCTATCTCCAGGACCACTTCTGAGAAGAGCGCTTGAACCTGGCGCTGGACCATCTCTTAGGATGCGGAGATCCTAGCAAATGAATACAGGCTGAATGTACACCTTCATCTTCCCTCACCCTGAGCAGACACACACTTGCATACAGAGAAGTCAAGATTTGGCACGATCGTAGATACAGTGAACACGTCCTTGTCGAAACCCTGCTTCCTGACGCAGGGTGCAGTGTGGGTGGGGAGGGGCAAAAGCTGCAGAACCCAGCAATGGTCACGTGTAAGAGGCAGCCCGCTCGAGGGTACCGCATTGGAATCACCCCGGTCACAGGGCGGCAGCTGAGTGTTACTGCACAACCTTACACTTCTTTTCATCCCTTGGTCTTAAGTAAGCAGAACCTCTAACGACTGACCAGGAAGAGGAGAGGCAGGGAGGGAGGAGAAGGGGTGGGAGATCCGACTTGTTTCTGATGATTGGCACATTTTCTGGAACTTTAGAATTATTCCGGATTGCTGTGATTGGGGGTTGAAAACAGTTACAACTTAATTACATAAATGAAGAAAGATTAAAAACTGAAAGCACACATACCATATTAAGTAGTTACCTCTATTGAATAGCCATAGAAAAACCACCAGTGTAAGGCTTTCCTCCTGAGATCTGTCACCTGCAGGGAGACAAGCTCCAGGACCCTGCAGTGCACCAGAGACGTATGTACAGTTACGTGAGGGTAAAACAGCAGCACGGGTTAGCTTGTTCTAGTCTGTGAGTGCTCACTGTGTTTTGTTTATGTGTGTGTGGGGGGGTAAAGAAATGATAGTTTACAATATTTAACTGTTAATTTTATTCTTCTGTCTTACTGATTTTGATAGTCTATTAGCTTTCTCCATAGTAATAACTCATATTAGTCCTGACATTTGAATGCAAAAGTTATTTTTTAATTAAGAAATGCAATGTTTAGTGTATCTTATTTCTAATCTCTTAAATCTGGGCAACTTTTTCAAGCTACTTTTTACAAAACTTGGAAGAGTCTGGCATTTGCATGGGCTTTGCACCTCACTTGAGTGGGTGGATCACAAGAGCTCTAGACAGGATCCAACTTGCTGTCTGACATTACAGAGATAACTGCCCTTTTCAACTGTGGCGTGCTGCAATTTACGGAATGACTTCATTTGTATCTGCCCCTCACCACACCCTTGGGAGGTGGGGATTAGAGTCCTGCTCTATGGATGAGGACATTTCCAGTGCTGAGGTGTCCAGCCCTGTCTGAGACCTCAGTGGTGGGCTGGGGCTTCAAGGGCCCCCTTTTGCCCTCCAGTTTCTCCTTCCTTCGGCTGTAACTTGTGTCCTCTGAACACACCAGGCCCCACACCAAACTTATGAGGCTTCAGGCTCCCTCAACTGTACAAAGGTAGCTTGGATCAGGCTTTCTCCCTGGTCCATGCTGGCTCCTCTTCATTCTGAATTTGGATTTATTCAGGGGAATGAAAAGTGCTGGGGTTCAGTGGGTGTCAGCTGACTGACCGGGCACAGTCCAGAAGCTCTGAGCAAAACAGGCCTCCAGGAAGCCCGCAGGGTTTGTCATGAATTGGGAGCAACCAGAGCAGGCTTTATTGTATAAATTCTGACTCTTAAGCATCTCATAAAATATATGGGCTTCAAGGAAGAAGAAGAAGGAAAAAAAAAAACCCTCTACACACATACAAAAACTTGCACACGATTTTGGATGGTTTTAGGCTGGCTTCTTAGAGCTGTATGGGTCAAGTTAACAACTCATGGATAATTAGTGCCCATGTATACAATTTCGTGGCCTATGGAAGGCCTCATCTTGGTTGTTACCCAACATGAGCAAAGCTTATTCTGAGTTGGGAAATAGTCATGGAAAGACAGGAATGGAAAAAACTGTGATGTGTTTTCAGGCCAATCCTTTTTTTTTTCATGGAAAATTCTGTTTCCCACATGACTTTCTTGGTTATTGGGAGAGGGAAGGAGAAAGAAAAGCTGATGTAGGACAAATATAAGTATCTTCTTTAGAAGTGTTTATGGAGAATTCCACATCATTTGAATACTTTTGGGGAACATCTTAAGAGCAGTATTCCTGACGGCAGATTTATGGTTGCGATTTCTGTCCCAAAGGCCTACAAGCTGTATATTTAGGTCTGATGCCAGTGTCAGGAGTGGCATAAAGAGTAGAAAATCTGAACCTCAGAGAGACCCTGATCCCCTCCAAAGAGGAATGATACTCTACTAGTCATTTCACTCTTTCGTACGCCCATGACATATATTTTTCAGAACACAGGAAGAACAAGATGTCATGTGTGAATCGGAACATTCAGATGCCATCATATTATTCTGCATTTGGGAAAATCGAGAACAAATTAGGACTCCTCCTTTTGTCTTGCGATGCTGAAAAATGGTCCCTACTGAGTCTGAAAGCCTGATCCACTATCTGTATCCATTTCTCAGCTGTCAATCACAGCATCTAACTCCCTGCTGAGGAGCCCCAGGTACTGTCTGCAAATGCAAACTCCGTCCAGCCTGGGATCACCCCAGCAGTCAGCGGTAGGGACTTCACAGCTCAACAACACAAACCAGTATTTCTCTTAGAATTGGCGGTAGACGATTTTCAGAGAATGGTGTTCATTTTGCATGCCTCACATTAAATATTGTTAAAAAATTAAAAACCCATTTTTTTTTACAATTTACAAGTATTCCTATAAGAAGGAAATGACTAAAAAAATACCCACCCAAGCACCCACCACTCATCTAGCGAATAATGCTAAGAATACACAGGCTGTGACCGAAGAAGGCTGTGACTCGTGGGGAAGTGGGGAGGTGCAGCCCATCCTCGGGAGGAAGGTGAGACATGTGGATGCAGAGAGGTGTGGTCCACGGCGCTTTGCTTCCTAAGTCAAATTCAGCAGCCACGTTTCAGAGCCAAGGCCATTACTTATTTCGACCTAAAACAGAAGATAGGGATTGCTTTAAAAGACTTCAAAATTGAAAGCTAAATTTCCTTTCTGTTCATCCAGGCTTTTCAAAGACGAACTGTAGCCACAAGGATAAACCCCTGGGCTCCCTGATTTTCAGGTCAGGGCAGGGCCAGCAGGTGTCAACACCAGAGTATCAGACTTGTGGTTTCCTGGGGAAGAAGTGCCAGCCACATGGCAGTTGGGAAGTGACGTCCAGGTGTGGCCTTTGGCTGCCTTGGGGTAAAGATGACAGGACAGCATTATGTCCCCAAGTTGCTAGCTACACCCCTAGCCTGATCTCCCTACAGCGTTCTGTGGGTTGCCTGCTCAAGAACCACCCTGGCTTTCCTACAACCTGACCATCCACCCACGTCCCTTACAAACATCCCGCCCTGTGATGGTCAGTTTTATGTGTCAGTTTTGCTAGATCATAGCACTCCGATACTGGGTCGAACACGGGTCTCAATGTCATCATGAAGGTATTTTATAAAGACGAGATTAACATTTAAATCAATAGACTGAGTAAAGTAGATTTGCTCCATGATGTGGGTGGGTCTTGTTCCATCAGTTGAAGGCTTTAACAGAAAGACTGAGGTCCCTGGAGGAAGAAGGAATTCTGTCTCTACACTGCTCTTGGACTTAAGCCTTCCCTGAGTCTCTAGTCGGCCAGCCTACCCTGCAGATCTTGGACTTGCCAGTCTCTGTAATCCCATGAGCCAATTTCTTAAAATTCTCTCTCTCTCTCCACACACATACACAGCCTAATGGTTCTGTTTCTCTGGAATTCACACTCATCTCCAGTCACTCCTGTTGCCACACATCTGACAAACACTCTGAGCATCTTTCTGACTCTCCACTAGGCAGTGAGCCTTTGGAAGGTGAGGGTCCCGGCTCACACATCTTCCCACAGCATCAACCTCAACACAGTGTCTGCCACGTAGTTGGCACCTAGTAAATATTTGTTGGGTACTTTTTGCTCTCATTGTTTCTCTCATGTGGAAAAAGTCTTAGCTGATCCAAATCTAGTCATCTTTGAGGTTCAATTGAAACTGGTTCTCCTCTGTGAAGACTCCACCGTGACCTCAGCCGCGTTGCTTTCTCAGCCTGCTAAGGGCAACTCCGTGCTATCCGCTGGGCCCCACGTGGAGCCCACGGTGCTCGGCGCCACGACTAACTGTGCTCTGATCGTCCCACTCAGCTACGGAAGTTCTCTCCCTCCAGCTAAATGATGAGCAGCTTGCCAGTGGAGACTGTGTTTTGCACTTATTTTTATGTCCCCATCCAGCAATGCTCTCCCATTAACTCAGTTCAATGACTTTCTCTTTGACTTCTTAGTCATAATGTGAAATAGCTGAAAAAATTTCCAGTTTCCCTGTTTCACGTTTTGGCAGCGGCTCTTCTCCCTGGAAACTCGGTTCCCTCCCCACCGCTCAGGAGTGGGGGCTCTTCAGTTCTCTCCTCATCTTCCCACACGTTTTCTCTGCCTTGTATTCCTCTACATCCTGGAAAACATAGCCCAGATGTTTGCCCTTTTACCCCACTGTTGTTTAACAAGGATTTAAACTGAAAGCTAAAGGGATGAGATTATAATGGTGGGCTATTTACAGTTGTATTCAACCTTTTAGTAAGAAGAAGGGAGACTCAAGGTCTTAAAGTCTATTCATCCATCCAACAGGCGACTCTTCTACACTGGGATAAGGCAAGAGGAGGAGGTGTTTTTATTTTATTTTATTTTATATTTTATTTTATTGGTGATCGTATCGGGAGAAGGTTGGGGGAACGTGCAGGCATCCACCACATTTACCTTGACTGTCAGCTCTGCTTCTGGCTAACATTTTCTGCTTTGAGGCTTTATCAACACAGATTGGAAAAGCAGGGAAGTAGACTGAGCCTGTTCCTCTGATGCCAGGTAGGAATTCTGGAGGGCTAGCTTTGGGCATTGGGAATAACGTCTGCAAGGAGTTTTCAAGAAGAACTTAGAGCAACTTTGAGAAGAGGCATTGAGAGGGAAGCCTAATGGCAACCCTGCCTTAGGTTTTATTAACATTTACTGAAAAATCAAGCATAACCAGAAGTAGAGAGAATGGTATTATGAATACTTACAGTACCCACCATCCTGCTTCAAGTAAAATAAAAATGATCTAATCAAGTCTCATGTATTCACTATGGCTTTTTTTTTTTTGTGGCTAGAGTATTTATTTATTTAATTAATTAATTTATTTTCTTTTTGGTGCAGAATTAGTTTATTGAAGTATCTTTCCCCTCCTTTTTATTGAAATGTAGTTGATTTACAATGTATTCGTTTCTGATGTACAGCATAGTGACTGAGTTATACATGTATACACACAAATATTCTTTTTCATAGTCTTCTCCATTGCAGGTTACTGCAAGCCATTGACTACAGTTCCCTGTGCCCTACAGTAGGGCCTTGTTGTTTGTCTATTCTGTACGTAGTCTGTATCTAGGCTGCAATGTTTAAAAGCACATCCTAGACATGATGCCATGTCCTCGGCAGCATGTCTTCATGACGCTCTGACTCAGAGATTCCTGGTCAAGGACGTGAATCAGTTGGTTGCCCCGGTTTGGCAAGGGGTGCGCGTGTCTGTGCTCTTGGCAGCTAGTGGGTGAAGGGCGAGAATGGTGCCAAATGTCCCCAGATGCACAGGGGAGCCCCCACTGCAAAGAGTGATCTGGTCTAGAGTTAACAGAGGTTGAGAAACTCTGCTCAACTGATAAGAATTTATTTTTCTTCTTTTTTTTTAACCTATTCATTAGCATATCCATCAAAATAGACAATAACTTCTTAATATCATTTACATCCAATCCATAGTCACATTTCCCCAATTGTCTGAAAGCATCTCGTTACCGTTGGTTTGTTGAAATCAGAATCCAAAAAAGGGATACACATTATATTTGACTAGCATGTCTCTTAAATCTCTTTTAATTAGTAAGAGTTTGCTCACCCCCTCCTCCCTTTTATTCATTTGTCTTATACTATTTCCCACATTCTAGACTGGCTGATCATTTCCTTGTGGTGAGATTTAACTTACTCTGTTATTCTTGTATTTTCTACACTCAGGCCAAGATCAATCAGTCCAAGCTGTTCCCATAGAGGGTGCTGTCTCTTCTTAGCATCACCTCAGGAGACACATAACGTCTAGCTGTCACTCTTTTAATGATGGATCAATGAGTCTGGGCGGAGAGTTTGACTTTTGGGAGCCCTAAGATCATTACTCTTTGCAGCTGTTTGTAGATATGGTAGCAGTTACCTAGGGGTACCTGCCCTCAAGGCAGAATGAAATCAAATAATAAGATAATGACGTTATTTCAAAGAGCATCTCCTGAGAGCTTGTCATTGTCTCTTTTTCTCTTGCCCTTTTAAGCCTCTCTGTGTCACTTCTGGGTGTGTGTGTGTGTGTGTGTGTGTGTGTGTGTGTGCTTTACTCTGTGTTTTGTTATGTTCTTTCTTATGTCTTGTTTCTCCCCAGAATCTATCATAACATTGAGATTATGCATATTTTTAATGTGACTATAAAATGAAAAAAATATACTTAACATAAGATTCGGCTTATGTTCATTACCTTTAATTTTAAAATCAGTGGCTACTTTCTGTTGGAAAACAGGGCCAAGTGAAGTTACTTTTACTTATTCTGATTAAGCCATCAAGAAGAATGAAATAATGCCATTTGCAGCAACATGGATGGACCTAGAGATTATCATATTAAGTGAAGTAAGTCAGAGGCAAATATCTTATGATATCACTTATATATGGAATCTAAAAATGATACAAATTCTATTTACAAACCAAAAACAGACTCACAGACATAGAAAACAAATTATGTTTACCAAAGGGGAAAGGGCGGGGGAAGGATAAATCAGGAGTTTGGGATTAACAGATGATACATTACTATATATAAAATAGATAAACAACAAAGACCTACTGTATAGCACAGGGAACTATATTCAATTTCTTGTAATAACATATAATGGAAAAGAATCTGCAAAGAAAAATATACATGCATGTATATGCATAACTGAATTGCTTTGCTGTACACCTGAAACTAACATTGTAACTCAACTGTACTTCAATGAAAAATAAAATGCAAAAAATACTTATGCTGATTAATTTTGGGGGAGGGTGCTCTGTATCTCCACATCACTGCATAAATTTGTTCTCTTGCTATTCACAACAATGACAAGTACTGAGAAGAATCCTGGGACTTCACACAAATTGACAGCTTCCTTGGAGGGCACCACGCCGATGTGAGCTTTCTCATTTTGGAAAAGGCTTCATGCGCTAAGGGCCACCTCCTTTGTGCTAAGGCAGGCAGGCAAGGAAGCCCGCCTCTCCTTTGGGACGGCCAAGAGGGCACCCAGGGCATCACCACTGGAGCACTCTGCACTCTTGGGGCAGCTCTCGGGAGAGTTCACGGCTCTGTAAGTGCCCACCATTGCCAGGGGCTGCTGGGAGCCCTCGGGCAGCAGAACTCCATGCTAAGTAACGGGAAACGTGAGCCGGCCATGGCTGCGAGCAGAGTACAGACACCTTGCTCTGCGTGTCCTGGGGGACCAACACGATGGACGAGCGTGAGCGTGTGAAAGCCAATCAAGGACAAATGAAAACGGTATCAAGCCAGAGGGCTGTCATTTCATGTCTTCAGATGCTTGGTCCAGAAATGAGGAGTGATGAGGTAGATGAAGGCTCCCCAAATGCAGCTCATTAATACATTGCTAGGGTTTTTCAATCAGGGTTTGAAAGCACGTCATTGTCACCTCTCTAACCCCTACACACACACACACACACACACACCCTAGGTGTTGTCCTCCTAAGTTGTTTTTTGGTGGGGGAGGTAATTCGCTTTATTTATTTATTATTATTTTTAAAGGCAGGTACTGGGGATTGAACCCAGGACCTTGTGCATGCTAAGCACGTGCTCTACCACTGAGCTATTGCCTCTACCCCTCCTCCCTGGTATTTAATCTCATGTTGGAAATGCATAATGGCCTGGCAGCGACTTGCAAGGATACTGAAACAAAACAGCTGCTCCCAGGAAAGAGCAGATGGACATCGCCACCCCTGGCTCCATCCAGCAGTCGGATCGTTGGAGGTGAATATCCTCTGAGTCTGGACTGTTAGAGGCGGAGGACAGGCAGGAAGGGACGGGTGGGAGCTGACTGCCAGGCCAGCCTGAAACGGGGATTAGCACGTTTGTCTTCCAGAACTTAGTTGCGGTAGCAGACATTCGATCAGCAGCGGTCACATAGCATGTAACAATTTTTGTGAAGGAAAATTAGCCTCCAGCAAAGGCAATCAGGCAAGTCAAGACACCAGAGAAAAAGTCAAGTTCTCATTTGGAAACCTTAGAAAAAGATCAGCTAAAAGCAGTGGGAAAAGCTTTTTTCATCAAGTCGTTCTTAACTGCAGTCACGGGGCGTCTTCCTCATGGAAATGTCTATCATCATCAGATCTCCCTCTGCTTCTATTGCGAAACTCAATTCTGAGATTCCACTGCTGTCTTTCTTGGATAAACTGCCTCAGCCTAATTATTTTTATGCAAAGAATTACCTCTACATGGAGCTTAATTTTCCCACTACCCAGTCACTAACAATTATGGTAATTTTGACAAACCTCGAAGTAATTCAGCTGCTCACAGTGACGTTCTCTGATACTCTGTATCTCTGTCATGGCTGCATGGGTCTATGCCAAGCCATTTTTCTTCCTGAGAGGTGAATCTGCTTCTGTGAGCGCTCTCCCCTTGGTGACTGCTGCTTCCATCACCAGCTGCCACGTTAGGTGTCCCTTCAAAGCCACCGCTGACCACATGAGTAACCCTTGCCCTTCCTCTGTTGTGAAAGGTGGTCTAGTAGCAGCAAGGAGGAGATCCAGGTTGTACTTGCGTTGAGAGTTACAGCCCCGCCATGTGGGGCCATGAAAGATAATGGACCCCAGCACAGGCTACCCTTGACCTGGGTACCACGTATCCCCAAGTCAGACCCAGAGGACCATCACTGGAAGCATCTCTATAGCCTCCAGCATAAAGAGTCATGTCGTTTAGATGGCGAAGCAATGGCGGCTGAGGGTCTCAGAGCATCCCCACTAGGAGCTGTCAAGATTCCTCTTCTGCATAATCATCTGCTTCCTTATGGATTTGCTGACTTTATGGGAGAACTACGGCAAAGGCAGGTCAGACTCGATAGGCACAAATTTCAGCTTCATCCTCTGCAGGATGGCCAAGCAAATTAGCCTCTACACAGGGGACCCCTGTCTTCTTCTGCTGCTTTTGATCAGCTCCTCATCATCTTTCCAAAGTCAGCCCAGGCATCATCTCCCAGAGGAGGCTTCTCCCTCCAAGTGAGAAGTAAATGTTCTCTCTTATGCCAAAAATTGCCTCAGGGACATCGTTTCATATCTACTTATTTCTACGTAGGTCCCCTCTCCTAGATCATTAGCTGCTGGAGGTCAAAGCTTAGGTATTACTCATCCTTGTGTCTCCAGCATGGGGCCCGGTACACACATTGTAAGTGATCAGGAAGCAATTGAAAATGGAATAAACCAATTCATTTAACCAGTGGGCCTTGATAGCTTGATGCCATCACTTTAAAGAGAGCCAAAGCATGAAAGACAAAATCCATATGTGAACTGCTTCACCCCATACCATCACCCCAGTACATTCACAGGCAATTGGACTGTGGGCCCTAGAAAAATACATTAATGATTATGAGCAATGATATGATCAAATGCAAGAACGAAGGCTCCCTGTACAAGTCTGCAGCATCGCCATGAACGGAGTGTCTGCTTATAGCCACCTGTCTATAACTGCAAGTTACCATCTACATGGGAGTGCCTGGGAATATGATAAGGGTTTTCCCAATTCCCTTAACAAAGTGGTTTCTTAAAACCTGACTTTGGACGCCATGGAGATTAGAGTCTCCATGAAAGTTAAGAGCCACGGTTCACTCCCCTCTCTAACATTTTAGTCCAGAAATTTGGAGTTTTCTCCAAGTCTGTTGCTGGTACAATGGATATGGCATCACTGAGTGGGTACAACGAAATCCAGTGTAAAGGACTTATGGAAAGAAATCAAGCAGGCTGAGTGATGCTGACTGGATAAACTGCAATATTTGTACGCCTGAGGGGGGCACACACACTGACCTCTTAAACTGTTTCACGCACAATGGTTTTAATTCGGGTTTAGTTTGATCTTGCAGAGTCTCACTCCCTCCATGGTTGAAAGTCATTCTATATTCATCTGACATAATAATACACATAATCTATCAAAGCAGAAACTTATTCTCTTGCTTTCTGCAGCCTGTGTTGATGTCACATTCAGCTGAAAAGATGTGTGGTTCAGCACTGAACAGCGTAGTTAAAAAACCCTTTGAGGAGGGAATGGAGTTGATCAAAGCCTTTTAGGTAATCTTGCGAAGACGTCTCTTGTGTTCTTGATTCACAGAGATGGAAGGGACTTGAGGGAACAGAGATGGAAGTCCCTTGGCTCTGGGCTGTGCCACCGGACACCCTTTCCAGGTTCACGGGCACACGAGTGTCATTCAAGAAAGGAGATTCGATTACCAACGTTAATCAGTTGCTGTTTTTAATAACCTTCCCTCATAGAAAGAGCTTTCTCACATCTGACCAATATCTTGCCTAGTGCAGTTTCTCTGCCAAGTTATTTTTTTCACAGTGTAGACGAAAGAAATCATTCATCATCCTCTTCTCACATAACAAAGATTTAGAAGACTTTCCAAGTCACCACCAGGCATTGTTTTAGCTCTTTTCTCACTTTCAATGGACTGATCATCCTTGTCATTGTCACAGTCCCTGCCAAGTTCCCCAGACTCACAAATATCAGCTTTTGGAGTAGATCCCTGACAGGCACGCAGCAGTAATGAGGTGGTGGCTGCTTGGTTCCGGAGTGTTGCATAAGGTGAAAGTTTTTTCCAAATTGGATTTGCTTTAAGAAAACAATATATATTTAAACATCTCTCATGTGACAGGCACAGTGCTGATCTTTGTAGCCTCTGAGCTGTGTTTCCTTCAGCTCATTTTGGCGGTATAAAACTAACTTCACCTGGGGAGATGCAGGTGCCTGGGCAGGCTTCTCAGGGTGTCAGTCCCCAGAGAAGCTGGGGGAGGGGCCGCAGACTTGGGCAGGAGCCACGGTGGCAAAGAGGCTGCCGATGAAGCCTTCTCAGACGTGTTTCTTACACCAGTGACTGTTTTTACAAATTTCCTCTGTCACCATGAAATTACAGGGCAGTGGGCTGGAAGAATCAGAATCTGAGCAAGTCCACAATGTCATGGTGAGAGCTGACTATCCAGGACAGATCCCAGCTCCACCACTTACTACTCGAGAGACTGGGAAAGTTGCCCCTCCTCTGAGAACTTCACGTCCCTTGTTTATAAAGTGGACTATTAACTAGTACATTACAGCATCTTCATGGGGACTAAGTGAGATGATCTGTGCAGAGTGGTTAGCACATGAGTGCTATCATTTTATACATCCGTCTGTTCGCTACTTAGAGCTTTTGAAGAGTGGAGTCACTGTATCTATTTTCTCGTTTTCTAGTATTTTATCAATCAACTGACCATAATTCTTTCCTTATACTCAACTGAAATCTGTCCAGTTTGAGGTGTTTTTGTTGTAGCTGTTGACTTCCTTCCGTGTTCTCTAGGGACAGTTGGTCAAATATTTGAGTACTGGACATATTCATGGACCACTTTACAGATGCTCTACGTACCTTCTCCCATTTAATTCATCCTCCTCCTCCTCTGCCTATGAAGCCATATTACAGATGACAGGAGCAAGTCTCAGAGACATCAAAGAAGGCCCTTGAAACCACACAGGCAGAGCCTGGATCCCAACTTGGGTTTTCTTCCCTTTTCCCTCTCCTAGGCTGCCCGCAAGATACATATTTAGTCTCTCTTCTGCAGACTGAATCATTTGTTTTTCCAACTCAGCAATCAACAACTGATAAGAAAAATGAAATAAAACTATCATTTTAGAAACATACACCACGTCACCAACTTCAAATCCTTTTGGGGATGAGCAAGAACAATGATAAAGTTGGGTTACATGTGAAAGGTGTGTTTTAAATATGAGTGGAAAATTAAACCAATGATTAGTAGCAGCAGGTCCAAATTATTTCAGGTTTGGTTAGTTGTGGCCAAGTTAGAAGGATTAATATTTTCCATCTCATCACACCTTTACTTACAGACGAACAGGCTTTAATTCAACATGATCCTGGTAGTAGGAGTGTGCAGTAAGTCCACCTATGAAATCAACTGAAAACACAACATAGCCCAGTATGAATACATGTGTAAATAAAAACGCACATAACAGCAGGTGCTTAAAAGAACACATACAAGTAATATCGACAAAACATCTGTCTATCACAAAATGGGAAAATGTGTCTTTCATATAAAAGACTTAAAAATATTAGCAATAGTCAAAAACGGCGAAATTAAAAAAAACACACATAGAACTTGGAATCTTAGGGACTGAAAAATCACAGTTGTTGTTGGCCTTAGTGAAAAATGAAGTAACACTAAATAACATTAGATTTTAAATAATGTGTTTGTCCTTAGGCGAACAGATATGCCCTTTCCCGCAATACATCAAAAGATATACCATTTCTTCTTGTTGCCAGAATCCATTTTTTTCCTTAAGAATATTTATTGCATCATTAGAAAGACCTTTGAGAAGTCACAAAATCTATGTCCTTGCCTTCTGTCCTCAAGCCATCCCTGACAAATAAGCACCTGCCTTTTGAGAGAAGGGTTCACCTCCTCTCTGGTGGTATGGTTCTTGGTTCATAGGCAGTGTGGATTCACTATTTTTGGTAATATTCTTCCTAATTTCTTCCTGTTTTGATCAAAGCCTCAACCTTCCTTTTTCAATCCTAATGTCTATGGGTAATCTTAGTTCTTTTCTCCTGTTCTGTAATTTTTTTGTCACAGCCCATTAAAAATATTAATGAGTTTATACCAAGCTCTGGTTATATTTGAGGACTCAAACATTAACAGGTCCACGGACATGGAGGGACACAGCTCTCAGTGCTTGCGTGCGTGTGTGTGTGTTTAGGTACACAGCATATGAATATTACATCACATCCTCGGTTCAGGACAGGCTTGCTAGTGAACTGTGACTTAGGGAGAGGTGAACTAGCCTAGAAGGTGATCTGCTCTGACCTGCTCTCTTGTTTCGCCTCCATTGGAGGAGTTGAGGTAAGGCTTCACAGGTCACTGTGTAGACATGAACTCTGGAGTCCTGCGGGGTTCACAATGATGAGGGGACAAGGGACCCTCTCAACGTAATCCCCCTGGACACCAGACAAGCATGAAGCCCATTCTTTTACTACTAAGTCCTATGAGTTACCTGGATATAACCTTGAGAGAGAGAAATAGCAAGAGGGAAGTCAATCTGAGACACTAAAAAGATTTTCCCAGAGAGAACAAGCAGTGCCTTAGGGGCCATGTAGTCAGATTGGATTATGTTTTATAGATCAGATATTTAATCAAATATCTACTGTCTCACCTTGTTGACCAATGGGTTGGAATTTAGATGGAAGATCATTTGATCGATTAAGATCATTGATTAAAAGTTGAATGATCATATAATTTACAGGACATTTTTAGAGATTAAAAGGTGTATTAAAGTAAACAAATTATAAATATATACATTTGTGAGTCAAATAATTCAATGGAAAGATTATATTAAAAATAAAATTTATTTATAAAAATGAAAAATCAAAAATGAATATCTGTATTCAGTAAAGCAAAAAAAGAAAGAAAACTTCCTTATATTTATCATTTGAATGTTAAAATATAACATTAACAGGGTGATTATTTTTTGTTTATTCATGTACTGCTGTGAATCCACTCCTTGGCCCACCTCTGTCTCTAATACACCACATCACTGGTATTCTGGGGAAAAACACACACATAATAAATAGTTTTTCAGTATGGTCTTATTATTTTGTAAATTTATTTATAATCTTATTCAAAATTTCTTTCTATGATTAATAAATTTGAAAATTTTGTCACCTTAATTGACTCTGTAAATCAAAGTATTTTTAGCTATGAAAACATTTTCTGTACAGGTGCTGGCAAATCCCAAGCAAGTTAGCTAAAGGAAGGATCTGTGTGACATAGTTTAGCCCAAATGCTTTCCCAGGAACTGTTATTTTACTTCCACTTAGCACATCTGTCTTTGCCGAAAATTTTACAAGATACGAAACTTAAATTGTATCTATTTATGATTCTTTTTAGGTCTTCTTGTGAATTAACTTCTTTTCATTTTGATGCAGAATATAAATTTGTCGAATCAAACACAGGGACTCTGTTAAAAGAGTCTTTTTTTCAAGTTGAGATATTTCAATAGGAAATTATAAAATTATAAAACTGAAAATTAAATCCTGTATAACATTTGAACTCTCATTATTTCATTCATCCAGTTCTCTTGCTTTTGTGAGCATGTATTTCAGTGTTCTCCTTTTTTTATGAGCTTTCACTTATTGCCACTTACTAAAAGCTTCAAAAGATGATTTTGGGAATGCTTCATTTGTTGAATTCTATTTAAATTCTTCAACTGATCCTGAATGCAGTGTAACTAAAATGTTGAAGACATTTATACAAATACTCACAAGCACTATAGGAAATGTAGATTAATTTACAAAGTAGTTCTTCAAAGGCTGAAATAACCCTCTCTCTGATGGATGAAGAGAAGCAAAGAGAGATAATGTATTGTGTCATCCTGAAATGTTTTCATTTGTTTGTTTTCAACATCAACTTCATTACAAAAATATTCTCAAGGAAATGCAAACCATGCTGAGACACTACTTTATATCCACTAAAATAGCTATAATAAAAAAAATGAGATAATCACAAATGTTGGTAAAGATGTGGAGAACCTGGAACCCTCATGCACTGCTGGGAGGAATGTAAAATGGTGCAACCACTTTGGAGAACAGTTAGGCAGTTCTTAAAATGGTTAAATATAGAGTCATCATATGACTCAATAATTCTACTCCTAGGCATGTACCCAAGAGAAATGAAAACATATGTGTACACAAAAACATGTACACAAGTATTTATAATAAGCAAAAGGTGGAAAAAATATTGTAGTTCACTTACCCTACTGCGTGTGAGTGTGTATGTATACACACAAATTTTGAGAACTTGACAAGACTGTCAAAAAAGCAACTATTAAGGAGGAATCATTGAAAAGTAGGTGATTATAAAACTGAAAACATCAAGAATCCTTTACAGAGGAAGCAAAACAACAGAAGCCAGATGTTTCCATATTAAAAAAATAATGTTTTATGCACACACCAACACTTCCTATTTGCCAGAGTAGAAAGAGAGTTTAAGTCAAGAGAAACACGGACGTGTAAATGGAGGGCAGGAATATACATCCTGAAAGCTTTTTAAAATAATGTTTTAAAAAATCAAGAATTTTATTTTATTTTTTTAAAGATGATTTGAAATACTTGAAAACAACTCAGCAGGAAAGACCTTTGGCTTCTGAGTGTGCAGAATGGTGATAACAGCACACTGTCAAGAACATAAAGCAACTGTGCATCCTAAAAGTCGCTGTCATGAGAAAGATGTGAGAAGATGCTGAATTAAGCAGTTTCTCCAGTAGAAATAAGGAGATGAATTTCAATGAAACATGGGAAGCAACAGAAGAGTCATGGAAATGCTTTTGGAGATATTAAAAAAGGAAATATCCAGAAATCTGCAGTCATTCCGGCGAGAACACCATCTAAGCGTTTCTGGCAGAAGAGTGCCCTTGGAAGAGACCGGGAAGACAGAAGGAAGGAGGCGGGGGGATGGGGCACAGCTTGCCCGGTGACCTGCAGGATACTTCAGTTGAATTCCATATACTCTGGTTATTAATGTCTTAAAACATAAAAGAAAGAATTAGCACAATTAAGACCTGGCATCCACAGTGCAGAACAGCCAGTAACACAAAGCTCTGACCTCTTCCTCGTTCTCGGAAGCCGAGGTGTTACTATAACAGATCCCTCAGGGGGAGCCCGTGGCAGCCAGGAACACCATGGGTTGTCGTCCTTTCCAATTTATTTCCTGTGCCAACTTCAAAAGCACAGCCAAGCGACTTCTTGGAAGAAATTAAGTGACTTGCGGTGGATTATCTTTGTGGTGACTCACTGTAACCACTGCAAATCCCTGACAGGGATTCTCACTGACCTGAAGGAATTGCAAAGCTACTTTGGATTGAAAGCATCATCTTACTGTACAAATACCGACTGGTTTTCCACTTGTAATAGAGTCACAGCCAACTGCAACTTTTCTGTTTGACTATAGGAAACATTCAGTCATAAATGAAGTTTCCAACAGATAGCTGAGGGCAATTGACTCAGCGCCTCCCTCAGACATCGCAAACCTGATGGACACCTAAAGCAACACAGACCACTTCCAGTGAGCACTCAAGGTATCATTCTGTCCCCAGTTTAATATACTCACCAAATAATTAACCAGAGTGGAGGTATTTTGTTTCTGATCCAGCTCTGATCCTTGCATGCTGCCTGGTCCCTGAACTGGGAAACACCAAGACACCACTGTACCACTGCGTTTAGCTCAGAGAAATGAAAAGACTGGCAGATGAGGATCAATTCACATATTCATTCTGAATGCTTCCTGGTCTATCACTGTTCCTGCTGTGTGGTTATGAGACTGTTCTAATAAGCATTTCTTTTATAAGTTGCCGGCAATAATGTCTTTTTTAATAAAATTCTTTTTTTATTGCAGTATAGGCAATTTACAATGTTAGTTTCAGATGTACAGCAAAGCGATTCAGTTATACATATACATACATACATATATATATATTTTTCAGTTTCTTTTCCATTACAGCTCATTACAAGAAATTGAATATAGTTCCCTTTTATATATAGTAATGTGTATCTGTTAATCCCAGACTCCTAAGTTACCCCTCTCCTCCCCATTTCCCCTCTGGTAACCACAGTTTGTCTTCTATGTCCCTGAGTCTATTTCTGGTTTATAAATAAAATTTGTATCTTTTTTAAGATTCCACATATACGCGATAGCATATGAAGAATACTATTTGACATCAGTAATGTCTTAAGGAAGCATCACTTCGGCCCTTTAAAGAATTCAAATATGGAGATCGTCAGATGGTGATTGACTTGTTGGGTGATATGAATTCATAAGAGACAAGCCGGGGTAGAGGTTCGACATCAGCTGAGTTCATGCAGAGAGGCCCTTAAAGACCGCTGGGAGGACTTTGCAGCACCCTACAG